AGAAATAAATATTTGGTTTCAAAAAATTATTACATATCTATCTATTTTGCAACCTAATTTATCGGTAAAAATATCAATTTACCAGTATAATTTACCTATGCATTTTTTTCCTGATTACCGATCAATTCCTAGTGTTATATATATCTTTATACATATAATTTTAACATTAATGTCGAATTTGTTGACTTATAGTTTCACAGTTAAAACATAAAACTTACCAAAATATAATTTACAGTTTTTTGTTGATTAAAGTTAAATCGTTTATTTATTTTTAAAATATTTTTTAATAAATTAAATAATTAAGCTAAATATCATGTAGATTATTTAATTTTCAGGTTGACTTTTTTCGTTTAACTCTACATCGTCATTTAACTAACAACTTCTCAACGAAGGTTTCAATTATCGTAAGTTATTTTTATCTGTTGATATTAAAAACAAAAAATTGATATATATATATATTAATTTATGTATATATTGATCAAACGATCAAACATTGATCTATAAGTTATATATATCAATACATATATAACTTAACTATACTCTCTATATATAATATATATATGTTATGGACCAAGTGATTAATAGGGCATTATTTATAATGTCCAGCCATTATGAATAATGACTGATGCATTGCTTCTGGAAAAGGCACAGGGAGCAAGAAGCAAGACTGCAAACGATTTAGTCTGTCACCTACTCAAAAAAAAAATTCTCGATGCAACGCAAACGAAGATCTTCACATGTTATTTACAATATTTCATCCGCTCTATTGATATCCTCTATACCGAAAATGAAAGTAGAACGGTATTAAGTCTCGTATATTCAGAAGTAGGTTGTGAGGAGTACGATACAGAAAGAATAAACTTGTACACCACATTTTTTAGAATTTTCTAGAATCACATAATCTTTTAAAATTAAAAAAAACCCACTTTCAGTATAAAAATATTTCAATTTGGATGGAGACAATTTAATCTGTGAAATAAAACAATTAAGTCCAGTTTTTTCTGAAATGGAACCACCGTACACTGCAAAGACACCATGAAAGGATCTGATAATAGCGAACGGAATTTTACAAAATAAAATTTAAATTGTACAAAGAAATATTTTGTTTGAAAATAAGGTCGAAAGAAAATATTTCATTCTTATGTTATTTAGAATATAGAACATATTCTATATTCCAATTTTAATTAAAATCATATGAAACGAATTCGAAATATTTCAAATATGTTTAAAAAAAATTCATTTTAGAAAAATATTCTCTGTTGATAGCTATTTTAAGCTTATCATATATGAGAAAAATGATAAAAATACATTGGATCGAACCCAAAATTAGTTAAAACTCTGAAAACAGTTGGTGATAGATTATTTTTTATTTTAGCAATTATAAAAACAGCCAAAACGTTATTATTTCATACATTTAAATCTGTTTAATGAGCGGGAACGCAAATTTAAAAATAACTACAGTGTGATTCAATTCTTTTCTTTCATGGATTGAAAAAACAAAAATTATATATTCGATTTTCAATTTGATTTTCTGCTAGCAATTTTCGATTTCCTGATTGTAAAATAAATAATATTTATTTTACTTTTTAAAAGCCATATTCGTTATAGCTTATATTCGTAAGTAAGTGGACAGAGTAAAATGAAAAAAGAGACAAATTTTTGTTTGAATAGTATACATGAATATATAAAATTATTTATTGAGATGCTATAGATTTACTATAAAAGCCTTGATTATAGTATTAAAGATGCTAATGAAATGTTTGATAACATTTGTGTGTTTATTTGATTTTTCTTTTATTGCTTTTCCGGCTCTGTTATAGACTATATAACAGAGGGAAAGTATGGCGATCGGTCAAAAAATTATCCCTCTAAGAGTTTATATTTTCGGACTCGGGAGACCTTGAAACGTCAAGAAATGCAAAAAGTTTGGAGTTTTTTTTTCTATATGTACTGATATTAGTGTGTCTTTGGGGACACCACTTTGTTCACCCACTTTAAAGCTTAATAACTCCAGTTTTTTTTGTCGAATTTCTGAAATTTTGCAGGAAGGTTTGTGTATTAGAGGATTGATGCTATTAAATTTTGGTGGTTAAAGATCGAGGGGATGGGGAGATAGAGAGGGTCGAGTGTCATATCTCTAGTAGGATCGGACCTAATGAAGATGTTACTCGTTATTAGCATTTACAGTTTTTTTTAAAAATAAAACTCATCCCTCACCCATTTTATAAAAATTAAAAATATAAAAAAATTTTAAACTTAAATATTATATTGATAACAGATGGCGCCACACACAGTTTTATATGTTGTTGCTGGAAAAGTTAAGCAACTCGTTGCTGGAGTTTTTTAAAAATAGAAACATGTCTTATACTAGTACATGGAGTAGACATATGCAACCAGAAATTTAGCAAGAGGATGCAACTAAAATAATTTTAAAATATCGAATGTTGTTTGAATATAAATACACACATTATGTGTTATAGGCATATATGTTATTGTATATAATTGGTTTATATCAATTGAATCTAATGTATAAATAATAATCACATGTAAATCACTGAACAAATCACACACACAAGTTTGAGATGTTTTATATGAATGTGAAAGGGAAAAATATTTTATAACATTACTAAATATTCGAAAATTACGGGTTATATGGCTTAAATTTATACTTATGCAATGACTGGTTGTTCTTAAATTTAACTCTTAACGTTAAAGTCTTTCATCTAAAGTTTCTAAACTGTTAGATGTTACAGTGTAATAAAGAAAGACGAAAGGAGGAAGTTGGGAAAGAATCCCGTTTTTTAAATATTATAATAAGTTTATTTTTTTAGAGTACAATAGTTTCCTACACCAACTTTTTATTTTTTATTACTTTAAAAGTAGTTTATTATACTCTTTTTTAAATGTAATTTACACGCACTCCTTTATTAATATTTTTATTTAAAACTTTTTAATGTTTACTTAATTTACAACTTACTTAGTTGCCTTGTAGTTATTAGAATCTAGTTGCCACTATTAAACTACTAACTATAATTCAAAATTTGTAATGTTTTTAACGTGATGTTAAAGAGGACTGATAAAGGACGTATGCATTTCTTTCATAATCACTAAAGCTTGTATATCTATCCCAGTTGAGTTCTTCTGCAATTAGTTCTCTTAAGCAATCTTATGCTTACAATCTTATGCTAACAATACGAAAACGAGAACATAAGACAATCAAGTACATGTTTAGAATGTTTACATTTAACTTAAAAGTTTTAATTAATGAAAAATTGTTTTTGTTTTTAAATTAATGTTTCTCTAATTATGTCAATTAGTAGATATAATTTTGCGATCTTTGAATGTATTCTTTAGATCATCTTAAATATTATTAAAAAATATATACGTATTTTCAAAATTTATATTTTATTTTTCAAAAATTCATTACTTTTGCTACAAACATAAATTATTTTTTTTTCGATTAATTTTAAAATGTAATTCGAAAATATTAAATTTAATAATGTAAGATTTGACAGGAATATTTATACATATACAATGTTCCCGATAAACATTTTTTATAATAAATAATATGAAATAGATGAACTCTCATTAGCGATGATATTTATTTTTTCTGAATATCCAAAATTTACCTTCTTAAGAGAAAGTTGTATTGATAACAGATGGCGCCACACACAGTTTTATATGTTGTTGCTGGAAAAGTTAAGCAACTCGTTGCTGGAGTTTTTTAAAAATAGAAACATGTCTTATACTAGTACATGGAGTAGACATATGCAACCAGAAATTTAGCAAGAGGATGCAACTAAAATAATTTTAAAATATCGAATGTTGTTTGAATATAAATACACACATTATGTGTTATAGGCATATATGTTAACATATATGCCTAAAATATCGAATGTTGTTTGAATATAAATACACACATTATGTGTTATAGGCATATATGTTATTGTATATAATTGGTTTATATCAATTGAATCTAATGTATAAATAATAATCACATGTAAATCACTGAACAAATCACACACACAAGTTTGAGATGTTTTATATGAATGTGAAAGGGAAAAATATTTTATAACATTACTAAATATTCGAAAATTACGGGTTATATGGCTTAAATTTATACTTATGCAATGACTGGTTGTTCTTAAATTTAACTCTTAACGTTAAAGTCTTTCATCTAAAGTTTCTAAACTGTTAGATGTTACAGTGTAATAAAGAAAGACGAAAGGAGGAAGTTGGGAAAGAATCCCGTTTTTTAAATATTATAATAAGTTTATTTTTTTAGAGTACAATAGTTTCCTACACCAACTTTTTATTTTTTATTACTTTAAAAGTAGTTTATTATACTCTTTTTTAAATGTAATTTACACGCACTCCTTTATTAATATTTTTATTTAAAACTTTTTAATGTTTACTTAATTTACAACTTACTTAGTTGCCTTGTAGTTATTAGAATCTAGTTGCCACTATTAAACTACTAACTATAATTCAAAATTTGTAATGTTTTTAACGTGATGTTAAAGAGGACTGATAAAGGACGTATGCATTTCTTTCATAATCACTAAAGCTTGTATATCTATCCCAGTTGAGTTCTTCTGCAATTAGTTCTCTTAAGCAATCTTATGCTTACAATCTTATGCTAACAATACGAAAACGAGAACATAAGACAATCAAGTACATGTTTAGAATGTTTACATTTAACTTAAAAGTTTTAATTAATGAAAAATTGTTTTTGTTTTTAAATTAATGTTTCTCTAATTATGTCAATTAGTAGATATAATTTTGCGATCTTTGAATGTATTCTTTAGATCATCTTAAATATTATTAAAAAATATATACGTATTTTCAAAATTTATATTTTATTTTTCAAAAATTCATTACTTTTGCTACAAACATAAATTATTTTTTTTTCGATTAATTTTAAAATGTAATTCGAAAATATTAAATTTAATAATGTAAGATTTGACAGGAATATTTATACATATACAATGTTCCCGATAAACATTTTTTATAATAAATAATATGAAATAGATGAACTCTCATTAGCGATGATATTTATTTTTTCTGAATATCCAAAATTTACCTTCTTAAGAGAAAGTTGTTTAAGTTGAAGCATGAATACGAAGAACGAGACTATAAAGCTTAGACACTAATAAAAAAAAATAGTATATTAATGATAAATATAATATTGTAGAACAATAATTTAAAAAATTAATATCATTCGCATGATATTATTTATCATGTTGTAAAAGTGAAATTTAGACATTTTGAAAAAAAAAGCTATATTGATAATTAACTCTACAACGATTACAGTTCCGTTGGTATGTAATCAACATCAATATCAATCATGTCTCGCCACCTTTGCTGCAAACTTTCAATAGGGTGTGAACTTTTCAAAGCCAATACGTGACGCTAGTATCGGGCTTATGGATATGTTGCTTCCTATTTTGTCTGTTTTTGCTTTTTTACTTATTTAGGTATTATTGAAATGCCGGTTTAATTGTTGTGAACCTCAGTGTAATGCTAATAATAAAAAATGACCAGGTTTGAAATTCACAAATTTCAGAATGTCCCAATAAAGAAAAAAAGGGAAGTAAAGATTAAAAACTTTAAAGAAAATCAGTGAATATACTGGATAAGTATCACACATTTTGATGAAAATGATTATGAAGTTTTTCATATGAGCAAGTTTATAGGACACTTTCTAATTTATAATTTTTAAGAAGTATAAGTAGAATAACTTTTATTTGATAAAAACTGAATGATGTACTGTACAGTACACTTACTTGTTAGTGCTTTTCATAGGTTAGATTTGACTACACACAGTAAATATATATCCTATGTCCAAAAGTGCAAAAGTTCTTGTCAATATTCTAGTTGAACATACTGAGTACTGACAGTATTTTGTAATTTTTTTCTTGTCATTAACTACACTTTGTAGCTTATTAATACCTGAATCTTAGTATAATGCATTTTTTTTATAATAAATTTTTATTGCATTTCTTAATAATGCTTTTTTTATAATTATATACAATATTATTTATTAATTATGCTACGCGGTGCATACATTCAGGTATAGGACGACAAGAGCAATATCAAAAACAAAAGCTAAAAACTGTAAAAGCGTCAGTGTAATACTTTAAGCTTGTATACTTTTCTAAAAGTTCTGTCTTTGTTCTTTTGTCTTGCCACACGCGTCGTCAGATAATTACGAGAGAAGTCTAGTGGAATAAGAAACAACACGTTAGGTATATTACAAAATGAAGTTTTCATGTCTTCAAGATAACCTTCGATTGCCTACATATTTAATTGCCTTCTCCTCGGATGCAATGTTGAGAATATATTTACAACTTTGTCAATATCAATAGACAATATACATTTCGTCAATATATTTAGAATTTCTCTCTGTGTTTTTTGCTATCCAGTTCTTCCATAGAGATATCTCGACTTCGAGAAGTTCGAGACTGGGCGGGTTACCACAATGCACGTCAATGAGTCCTCTCAGGGATGCAGTCACAATTTTTAAAAATTTATTAAAAATTTAATTTTCATCAAGTAGCTTGAAAATGTAGCATTTATACATTATCTTACAAATAATTACAAATAATAAAAATTTATTATTATATTAGGGGAGACCGGGGCAACTTCGGCATGCGGGGCAAGTTTGTCAAGCGCTTTTTTTTAAAAACAAATTAAAAGGAGACTTTGGTTATAGGTTAGGCAGTTGAGTTTTATTGGTGGCTTGTTGAGTGTAGTGTTTTTATTGTTCTCCAACAAGCGTAGTTGAATTATCAAGCAAATTTTCATTTTCGTTCAATTCCATATAATATTTTTTTTCCATTTATATTGAATTGGCAGGTTTTGTTATAATTCCATGATAACGAAAGTTACTTTTCCTGTTAGAAGGATGTAACTTCAACTTATTCACGTGGCCAGATCGTGGCTTGGCATTCTGTTCTCAGGGTTGTACTTAATGTTTCGAAATCATGACTAGCGGGGTAAGATCGGCAACATAAAGCCACATTAGAAGCAAAGGATAAAAATCAAACAGATGATAAATGAAAACATGTTTGCATTTGTTATTCATGTATATATGTCTTTGAACTTGCATTTCGTTGTAATAATATTAAATGGGTGTTGGATTTGTATTTCTTTGTTTTAATAGTGAATTCCAACTTATACATTGTTAATAACATAATTTTATATACGTGCCTATCTTGCCCCATTACTGTTGCCCCTATACCAGGGGCAACTTTAATAAAAATAATTAAAATAATTACAACTTTACAAAAAGAGAGAAGTTGCCGATCTTGCCCCTATACCCGGGGCAACTTCGTCAATTTCTCTCTTCTTGTAAAGTTGTAATTATTTTAATTATTTTTATTTCCAAACTGATTTTAACCAGTTCTATAGTAAGGTAACATTCCAATAGACAATATGCAAAGCTTTTTTTTTTAGTTTACAGCAGTATTTATTACACAAAATTTAAGTAAAGCTTAACATGCCGATTTTGCCCCGGTCTCCCCTATACGTATGTATTGCGAACCCTCTAACCTATGCTTGGATCACCATCCATGGCATTATTAATCAACATTTTATACAATAAAAACAATATTCAAGCTTAAAAATATCGTTTTTTTCTTGTTCTTAAACAGTATAAACATCAATCAAAGCCCAACTTTGTGATGTATTATAACCCATATGGCAAAAATAGGGGATCTGCAAACCCATTGAACCCCTACTGACAGCGAGCATGTCTTGGCCCCTAATTCTTTTAATTTCTTTCTTAATTCAGTAACTGTTACATTCTTTGAATTCAGATTTTTATAAACAGATCAAAACTTTCGCTTAGTTTTCACTATTTTACGCACTACCGGAAGTTAAGTATACATCAAGTTGACACTAGCGCCCTATCCCGCAAGCATAGAATGATGGATTTTTCTTTGAAGAGAGTCTCGAACTGTATATTGGTAATATGATTGTGCAGGGCGCAAAATAGATGGTAGTCGGTTGGCATTAACTCTGAGCTGTAAAGTCTATGAGACAGAACCACCAACCCTGTCTGGCTAACTTCTCTAAGGTCATCTTTGCTGTATGTGCTGGCGCGGTGTCATGGTGATATCAGACTTTTCAATTTTTGTCGAAGCCTTTTGCTCTTGGTGTTTAAACGATTCAGTTGTCGAAAATACAATTCTTTCGTAACATTGATGTTAGTTGGAAGCAACTCCATTATGATGACGCTAAACAAACGCAGATTATCGCCTTCTTCTGCACATTTTTTTATTTGTATTCTGCCTGTATAATACAATAATACAATACCAGCACCGCTGAGTACAGCTAGTGAGTATAGCGGGTTATATACATGGATTTGGTGCCAATGTGAGCTTTTGTCCAGTTAAAGGAGAAAAGTGATTATCAAAGACAAACAATATCATCAAAGAGATAATTATCTCTTTGATGAAATTGTTTGCTAGGGTGGTGGCCCGAATTCTGAATTAGCTGTAATGCCGAGGAGCAACCAGTATAGATAGAGTACTGTGTATTGTTCAGCGTGCTGCTACTCCATTGTAAAGCCTTGAGTATGACCAGTAACTCTGCTTGAAAAACAGAGCAATATGGGTGAAGCCTATATCTGCTGTTGTGGATAGAGCAATATGGGTGAAGCCTATATCTGCTGCGATGTGGTTGTTATAAACAAAAAAACAGCAGTCGACTCCCGAGCCTAGTTTAGATCCGTCCGGTGTAGATGTTTATTTGCGTGTGAACCCTAGAGTTAATTCTGACCGATGGGAAGCGATAAGGGTTGATGGTAGACCTATATTCTATTGGTTTCTCTATGTTCTTAGCATGGAAAGTTTCATCACTAGTGCGATGTTGCTGCCCCTGGTATGTTCCAGATTTTTGCATGTTTTTTTATGAGCATATTAATAGGGGCTTACTTAATAATAACTTGCAGGCTGGAAGTGGGGCAAGTTCTGCACTATAGGTCCTTCGACTTTTGCAGCAGCTGGTCGACCTTTGCTCTTCTATGAACGCTTTAACAAACGTTATACAAATCACATCGTAAGTCTTTGTTGAATTTGGGCACTTTTGAAATAATAGAGCAACAACATGGGAACGTGTTCTTTTGAATGTGTTCGAATGTGTTTCATATTGTCAGACGTCTATTTTCAATGAAATATGTGATGAAATATCATTTAATTACTCTACTTATATACCTACATCAAACGTTCTAGAACATTTTTCAGTCGTTTTTAGAAACAACTTCAAATTTTAAATTTCACCTTTACAACTTGATGTATTATCAAAATCAGTATCGTAGATTACCGTGATTAAAGAATGTAAACTAAAGAGGTGATTTAATTCAAGATATATTTTGAGATTTTGAAATCGTGAAGTGAGATCGCATATAACAAAGGAAATCTATATTTACAATGTCTATGACTGTCGGTCGGATGGACCACGCGGGACCAAGAATAAAATCCAGATGTCGTGTCCCATTCCTTACCATCCAGCCTTATTCTGGGCCTGGTCGAACCCATAATAGGATTGCCAAAAAAGCCCTTTTATCGCTCACAATACGAAAAGAGTAAAAACTGTCTATGACTATCGAAATGTAACGAATTTGTTAAGTATAATATCATGTTTTCATGTAATAACAGTCTGCTAGGAGAGATGGGCCTCACTCGAAGGTATAGCCCATGAAAAGAAACGGAAATGAGAAGAAAAGTTTGTGAGAAATTAGGGCGAAGGGGAAATTTAGATAGATAGAAAAGGTAAGACAGGAGCAGCTCCCTTGCGGGGACCATAAATATGTATTTCTTTTATTTTCAATACAAATTTCATNTAAGAATATTATTTAAAAAAGATAAAAGTATACGTTTATTAAAGAAAATAATAAAATAATAATAATTTTTTTCTAATAATTTGAAATATTTTTCTATAGTTAATTTTTATCTTTTTCTGTTGTAAGTTCTGTTTATTTTGCGATATTTTGCGAATTAAATCAATTGCATTTACATTTTATACTACAAAATATAGTTAAAATTTTAATATAATCTTAGAGAAAAAGAAACCAACATAATAGAAAATAATTTGGTTTTTATAACGAGCTTAGTATTCTTGAACGATAGACCTTAATATTTGCAATTACAAAAACGTTTTAAAGTTAGAATTTCAAATTAGCTATCATCTACCAATTGCTATATGACATGTTTAAATTAGTACTGTATATTACCTGAATAAATGATCTTTTAGTAATGACTATACTTAAAACTCTCACTCCTATGTTTGTTGAAGATAACTTCACAACAAATTGAATCTAATTTAGCAAAAAAAAAATTATTTACAATATAATTTTACAGAAAATTAGTAAAAATGAAAGGAATATCTTACATTCAGTAATTCGGAATACGAAGTTATATCTGGGATTTTTCTGTTCAACTTAAAAATTAATTGCCTTTCCTGAAAAATAGTTATGAAAAATATGAATTAGATAACTCTTTAAATACTTAATACAGTTAAACCTGCCTGTGACGGAACCCCAAGGGACCGAACAACTCTTCCGTAGTAGACAGGTTTCCGTTATACGCAGGTTATCTATTATAGGTATCACTTGATTAGTGCGATTAATAAATTTCTCGATGTTACTGCGTTGAAATCCCATTAATCAAATACAGTGGTACCTCGGTATTCGACCGAACAATCACCACTCGCTAGAACAAATTTTCGGTTAAATACAAATAGTTTTATTATAACTTTAATTTTTCATTCATTCGTAAAAAAGTTCTCTAAGATAAAAATGAGTAAGCAATTTAAAAATAAAATAAAACCCTATAGCTGACTACCTTCGTCAGACAAAATTACGCATTGTTTAGTACACGTATTGTACACGTATCAAGTAGATGTAATGTTTTTACATCAGTGGATGTAATGTTGTTACATCCACTTCGTACTGTACGATATGTGTCAATACGTGTCTGTGACACATTACGATTTTTGCCAATTTACGAGTTGTTATTCGTCAATCTTTAACAATCTTCAACAGCTTTTGCAGGCCTATACGTTTTGTATCCTTTAGTTCAAAATTTACCGAACGGAACTTTCAAAACTACATTTGATTTGACACATTTGGAGTTTAGAAGCATCTTTACCATACACGGTACGAGTATTTTTCATTGTTTGTATAACGTGATAATCTTTACAAAACTTAAAAAGCATGCATAATAAGCCCGATGTGAATTTTATCTGCAGACATTTCGATTTGCTTTTATTCAAACGAAATGTGATGTAAAAAAATTTAAAATAAGCTTCAAAACAAAAAAATATATAATCTCACGTCGAGAATAATGTGTTAAATTTCACAACTTATAATTACATCACATATTTAATTTAAGTAAAAACAGCTGTTAATAAAATTTTCCGTTCAAATTTAAATAAAATTACTGTAATACAGTAGTAGTATTTTGCTGTTCTGTATTTTGTATGTGTATTTTTGGACTTTTTTATGATTTATACATGCTAGGCTTGTAAACTTCTTGTTAAATTTGTGTTAAATCAGCCAAAATACCGATTTTTCAGTTATGCGCCCCGATTTTCCTTTTCGTTTCCGCGTTGGACAGGTTCCGCTATATACAGGTTAATTTACATTGCTTTTTGCAAAAAATTCAAGGGACCGAAGAAATTTTAAATTAATGACAGGTTTTCGCAATATACAGGTTTCGTTATAGACAGGTTTGACTGTATATAAAAGAATTTCCATAAATTTGTAAGAATATTCCATATGAAATTATATCTATTGTATAGCCTTTATTTAACGCAAAAATTTTGAATTAATTGAAGTTAAACTTTCTAAAAATTATATTATTAAATTTGAGTTTCGTAATCATTACACTAAAAGTGTTGATTTTTCAGAGAAAAAATATTATTTGTCTTTTTGATAAATTAAATTTTAAGTTAATTTGTTCCAAATTTGTAATTTATATGATGTAAGCTTTTAGTTTTTCTACTGTATTAATTAAACTTAACTTGAATTAACTTCGATAATGGGAAAATTAAAAATCTGTTGCATGAAATGAATAATTTGTAAAGGTATTTTAAAAATTTTTATTCATTTAGGATATGTGAGATTCTTATTTTTAACATTTCCGCATCAACAGTTACGTAAACATTAATAGGACTATATAAATTGGATATCATCTCATGAATAACTTCGCTATAAAATGAATTTACAAACTGTCATAAAAATTAATGAAATATGCTAATGTAATCATAAATATAAATTGATTAGAAATAAAAAAAGATTTTATAGATTTTATAGAAAAATAGATCTTAATATTTTATTTTATTTAGAAAAGAAACAGTTTTATTGATTTCTGTAAAATGTTTACTTTTTAGACATAAACATAAAATAAAAATCTTTTAATAATATATAAAAATGAATAATTAACTGCTTAACAAGTTTTTACTTAAGTAACATAAAATAACTGAAAATAATATTTAAACACTTTTTAAAGTGAAAAGTATTATGTAGCATGAATTAGTATCCTTGTTTTATAACAAAAATAGCAACGTAAAAAAAAGAAAGAAAAGTTTAATTTCATTGTGTACACATGAAAAACTTGATTATAAATTAACATGAAAATATATAGGCCTATATTTCAATTTACACGTTAAAGGACTAAATAGTATTAAATATATTTTCCTAAAAATTATAAAAGATAGTCTATAAATATATATGTAAAATTTAACTTACCGAATTTTTCATCATTGATGGAATTAATAAAAACAATAAGAGAAGAAATAACACTACGCAAGAAATAAGTGTTGCTGAAATTATCACTTCAATTGTAGTAGTATTTATGGTCTGTTTAATTGAATATAATATCACAATCAATAAAAAACCCAGAGATATCAAGTATTGTTTATTAAAAGTATTATTAATTGATAAAACAAATCTGCAGTTATCGTGATATTTTTTATATACATAATTAATATAGCTTTCTTTTTTACAAAAATTACGATTGTGTTTCATAATATAACTAATATCATCAAAAATACTTTTAGCTATAAAACATAAATATAACAGAATACTCGTAGAAAAGAACATGACATTAAAACTGTAGACTAAAGCAGAATTAATCAACAAAAACGAAATGAAAGAATATATAGGATAATTTTCCCAGTGATTGCATTCAAGTCTTTGTATCGAAAGATACTGAGATATCAAAGTAATTATTCCATTTGCAGTAAAGGTCAGAAAAGAAAGTACTAAGCTTAATAATAAATAATACGATTTTAATACTTTCAAATTTATTTTGTTTTTAAAGTGAATATTTTGCTTTGCTGTGGAATATATTTTGCAAAGTCTCAGAAAATTTTCTTTTGATAAATTAATATTTGCTATAATCGTAAGATAGGTAAAAATAAAAAATATTGTTTTAATAATTTGAATTATATGAAAATTTTTTCCGTAGAAATCAGAACAATCAATTGCTTCCATAAATCTATGGCATCGAGGATGAATTAGCGTGCTGATATGATGAAGTAAGCAAAACGATAATGATATTATGACAAAAATTTGGCAGCTTTTCCAATATAACTTTTGAAAAAACGTTTTTTTGACATTTAATAAGTTAAATCCAAAATATTTACCAAATTTTAGCATAGATATTATTTCTGCTTCCATATATAAATTTTCTGATGATTGATCATCCATTTTTTAAAGCTGCAATACCACTAACGTAAAAGTAAATGCAAAATCATATAATACAATATCACAGAATCTGAATATTATTCGTCACTGCGTTTTATAAGCTATTCTGTCACAATAACGTAACTCTAATACGTAACTTTATTGATTTTTCAAAAATTTAGAAAAATATGCTAAGCTGCTCATTAAACGTTTTAACTGCGTCATGCCATTAATGGAGAACTTAACTGAACTATGCAATTAAAATATAAATATTTATAGTAGGCTACAAATATTTTCAAAAAGTACCTTAATATTTTCGATATTTATTATTAATATAATTTTGATTTTATTATTACTATAATAATATTAATTTTATGATATTATTAAGTATTAATATTTGTAACAAATTCGGAGATTATTTTAAAAGTTAAATTATTAATTTAATGTCTATTAGATTTTTTTATTACTATCAATAAAAATGTTAAGTATAAAATAAAACTATGCGCAGTAAACAAAGCATTATTTCCAAAATTTTAAAATTTAAATTTAAATGAAATAATGTTATCACTTTGATTCAACAAATTCATGTTTTGAAGTATTGCAAGTACAACATTAATGGGTAGTGAGATATTCGTTTATCTATAAATATAAATGAGAATGTTTGTTTGTTTGTTTGCTACACACGTTTAGGCTGTTCGACCTATTGCTAAAAAACTCGGCAGTTACGATTACATGTTCCTAACTTAGATAATGTTCTACATCCCATCTCAAAATATCTATCGGACTTTTGTAAATCAATTAATTTCTATGTACATTAGATTTGCTGATTTACACGTAGCGTCATCTTTTGGAAAAAAATTTAACAAAATAATAAACTAAACATAATTTTTATTAAAAAAACTAGCGGGTAAGCCCGGCGTTTCCCGATCCAAAAATAAAAAACAAACGTTAAATTTATTTCGTACTTCTAACCTTTCTATTATATTATATTATAGTATTTGATTTATATTTACAAAGGTTACGTAAGAGTTTATCACATCGAGTGCCCATTCTAACATTTAAAAATTTTTTAAACTGTGTACGGTGGAGGGTTAAAGAATTTTTAATTTAAAATGTGTTAGATTGGTTATTCTGTGTGATAAACCCTTACATAAGATAGCCTTCCTATTTATATAAATCAAACACTATAATATAATAAATATTAAAACGAAAACCATATAAAGAGTTTGGTTATTTCTGCCTACCATTGTCATGTTTATTGTGATACTCCGATGGTACGAAATGGCACGAATTAAATGGCCAAGTAGACAGAAATTGAAAATTTATTTGAAATTTTTCAGATATATTATTTTCTAATGTTAGCTCTAAGAAATTGTACCATTCACAGCCGAATATCAAACGGTAATCTGCTACCTAATCAAATTTCGGAAAAACGGACCAAATATTTAAATTCGGAACCCTCGAAAACCACTTACATCACATTTTGTGCTGGCCAGTAACCTTATATTATGTAATTTTCCTATTCGAATGCCACGATACCTCTGGACCGATAGAAAAAAGGAGCTGTGGCAGAAGGGAGTCGAAGTTAATTCGATCAAAAGTAGTCATTGATCATCCTCTCTTCTGGGAGGAGGTTGAGGACTACTCATTAATACCGGTCTACTATTAATGTTTGAAAGTGATCCGTGTTGGATGCGTTGTGATGGCCCCGTATGTGATCGAAGTTGCTAACCTTAACATAGGAAAGACTTCGTATAACTGGTTTAAATTTAAAAAAAATATTTAAAAAATGCTAGAATAATTGCTTTTATGTGATAATAAAGTTTTCAAAATTTTGGCAGATTGTATAAACTATGTGAGAAGTCTACAATTTGAAAAAAATTGTAGAACTATAAATTCTCACCTATCTATCTGTCCTTCCTTAATCTCGAGAAAGGAGTTAGACAGATGAAAGCCGAGATCAGATGTGGAAAGCTTAGAGCAGGAGGCCCAGCTTAACTATATACGAACTTCCGGATTAAAACGAAAGTAACGTTACTTTGATTCAAATGTCTAATTTATGTAGAGTTCTATAAAAATATTAAACGTTTAAAACAAAAAATAACAATGATACTATTCTCTTCTATAATTTTATGTTATAAATATTATGCCACCATTTATGGGCAGTGGTGTATTTATATTTTACTTTATGAATCGATTATCATTTGTTCAATCGTTTTGTCCTTGTCCTATTTCTTCTTCAAATATCTTTGTTACCATGTAAGCATTTTATGAAAATTTATTACTGTATTATATTAATTTTCCATTAGTTGCGTATTTATAAGTTACATTAAAGTGTAATAAATTATCGAGAAGCACGCAAAGTAATTTATTCTATATTTAGCTTAATAAACATATGGAATTAACTTGGGATCTAGGCTTGTCTTAGGGTCTAAACATTTATTACTCTAAAAGGACAGTTTTAAAATGTTTGAAATTTTTGAAGCGTTTTCTAGTCATTAATTTATTTTTAAAATGGAACCTAAATCTAAAGGCAACCTTTGTGTTTTGTGTTTAATTAATTTTTTTATAAAAATTGGAAAAATATTTGGATTCGTTATTATAAACAGTACACATTCTAAATTTGAAATAATTTGTTTAAAAATTTACCAGAGTTTTATTCTTTTCATAATAACTTTATGTGCATATCAAGAATTAACGATTTTCTTTCTTCCACCTTGTATGAGATTCATGAAAAATATGGACTTGTCTAATTTATATGGTGATGAAGCTGAAATACCGAATTTTCTCAAAGGAATTTTTTATATTGTTTCGGGATTGATGCTAATTATAAATATTTGGAGTGAGTCAAATATTACCGATTTTCTAACAATTTTTATTACACGAAAGGATAATATTCATTTAAAAATGAAGTTTTTCGACAAATTAAGGAAGTTGTATTTTAAAGTAGTTATTTTAATGACAATATCTACTGTTTTTTCTAATACTTATACAACTTTTCTTTCACATAAAATACCATTTCCTTTACGTAATTGCACCATAAACCGCAATCCAGTATTATTAATTGCTCAAATTATCATTATTAATGTAGGATTAGTTTATAGTTTAAATTTATTTTTGTTTTTATTTATCGTTATAATTATATTAAGTTCAATTATAAAATTTCGATTCGAAGAGATTAATGATACTTTAAAAACTTCTGTGTCTATCCGTGAAGATATTTATACGATTTGTGTATATATAAAATATTATGATACTTGTACACTAATGATATTAATGAACAAAAGTTTTAATTTATTTTACACAATAAGTCTTAGTCTCATATTTGTTTTAATGTTTTATTCTATAAGAAAATTTATCAATAGTATCACTTATATGTCTCAGTTGTTATCATCGGCAATTGCCATTTTATCATTGAGTACTATTGTTGGATTGCTTTACTTTTCTTCAATTTTGTTTAAAACGGTAAGCATTAACTATATTTTCTGTAGTTTGAATTAATATTTTATACATTTGGAATAACTTGATAGTTATTATAGGCAAGAGCTCCAATCAACAATTTGTATCGACATTTACACAATAAATATTCATCAAATATTTATTTACAGGTACAGTACGTTAATTAAGAGTAATAATAACAATTATTGTTATTATTATTTTAATTTATTTGTTTTTCCTCAAAACAGATTCAAAATCTGGTGAAGTATTCTCAAATTTCTGAAATGGGATTGAAATTCTTTCATTTAACAATTAAAAAATCCATGGTTCTTGAGGTAATTTTTATTAATTATAACTGGATTAAAATACTTGATTTAGTATAATTAATATTTCCTTAAACATGCAAATAATTATATAACTTAATAATAATTCATATAACTCTTAAGATCATTAATCTCATTCAATAATATACTGTGTAGAATATATAAATGTACCTTTTTATTGTTTTTCGAACCGAATAGGTGATATATGGGACAAACTAAGTTAAATTGTTTTAAAAGTTATTATTTGGACATTTATTTTTAATTTGATCGAAATTCCAAATATTTATATTAATTTAATTCTTCAGAGAAATGATATTCAGATAAAATTTTTTAGATGAGATTCTTCTTCGGATAGAGTGATATTAAATCTTATAACAAA